CTTGTTTGTTGATTATGGGAGTTTGCTGTAGGATTTTTATTCCTACAGCAAACTCCCATAATCAACAAACAAGAGAAGTATCCTTTCTCAGAGGTGGCATTAGGTAAGTCTGATGTCCTGTTCAAATTCAAGAACACCAAGTTCAAAATAGCAAAATCAATATGTAGCTTTTGTGGTCATGACTGACCTGCCACCCCCACCCCCATATATATGTGATAAAGTAAGTTTTAAATGAAAAAACACATCAAAATAAAATACATCTTAGTACCTAATGCTTCAACATTTAAATCAGTATATCTTTAAAGGGCGTATACTAAATCAACGTAGTGATTACATGGTTTCTGAATGATTTTCCTAAGTCAGGACAACTGAAATTCTATTAGCACTGTAATGACACTTTGTGAAAAAATCACTGACTGGGTAAGCATTTTAAACATCCTTTTTCAAGACTACGTCAGGATTACAATGCAAACTTTAACTAAGTTCACATTAAAGAACAAAGAAACCGAGATTATGTCAGATGTGACAACTGATTATATACAGAATTAGTCTTCTGTCAATAGACAAATATTGCTACTTTATTGAATTCAGATAGTATAGTATTCAACTGAATACTTTTTAAAACAATCAACAGCATAGAATAGAAAGAGCCAAAGGTCAGACATAAAATACAAACTAAATTTTAAAATTTCTTGTTAAATTGTGAGGCCCAGAGTGGCTTCTCTGCTTGCACCTGTCTAAGACCCTTTCTTCAAAACTTCAAACTCATATGAAAGTGTTCTGGAAAAGGACACTTATCTGCCTATAGCGATGAAAGTTAAAAAACAAGGATTTAAATACCTTCAATCAAAAACTAAGTGATGTCAATAAAACACTTCTATATGAAATTTATTATTTTCAAAACAACCCTAAAAAATTCAAGTCTATGATAATATTTGAAATACAAATTTCCTATAAGTTTTTATGCACAGTATTCTAACCATATCAAATTTGTGGAGAAGACAAAATGAAAAATTAAAAAAAGTGAATAAATAAATTATTTTTTATTAGGTAAGTTATTTTTTGTACATGATTGTACTTCAACTCTTTGTGTATGTAACATTACCTATCATAAACATTTATCAATAGTGGTAAAAAGAATAAAGCAACATGAAACTAACAATTACAGTTTTTTGTACTTTAGTTAAAGATGCAGATATGTTTTCTTGATTGTTCTTACAGGCATTATAAAATATATTTGTGTTAATATATCATTTAATGCTAATACTCATGAAACTCATGAACTAAAAGTGTGAACTGTTATAGCACACTTGTATGCATTTCAGTATTTTGCTGAACATATCAAAATAGGCCTGTTTAGTTAACATTTTTCATACAAACATATTTCAAAAAAACACAATAAGGAATCTAACTATCGTTATTTTTTCTATTAGTTTACATATTAAAGTAGACTTTGCCAGACCAGGCCCCTTCCCTACTTTCTAATTTATAAAATGGTTTATCCAGTTTGTGTAAATGTGAACTAAATATTTGTATCTAAGTAACTAATATACTTTGAGAGTGTTGTCCTGGGATCCTGAAGCAAGGAATTCTCCATAAGGATGGAAGTCCACACATTTCACACTGGATTTATGCCCAGTTAGAGTTCTCAAGACTGGAAATAAAACAAGGTGGAAGAATTAAACTTTACCATTCACAACCTGTTTTTACTTTATTTGAGTAATTACATATTGAAATAAAAATAGCATTCCCAGAGACAGCATTATTAGTAATACCACAAAATCTTTGTTTCTTTCTTTTAAAGATAAAAGAATTAGGTCTAAGTAAACTGTTACTCCATAAACATTTATATTCTAATGAAATATTCATCCCAAAGTTTACCTTCACAGTTCAGTGTTTCAAAATTTATATTAAATAAATGAACAGTAAATTATGCACTGTTAACAACTGCAGGATAAAAACAAGGCCAGCAATAACTTTCTAAAGATGATTATTCTCGCTTCAAAATTTTGAGATGGAAAGTACACGAGTAGGAATACTTGTTTGTGGTGCTTACTTTTTGTGGCCTCCAAGTCCCACAACTTCATTGACCCTGACACAGACCCAGCACAGACTGTATCTTCTGAACGACCAAATTTCACACACATTACAGCTGTGGTATGACCGTTCAGACTCTAAAATTCAGAATGAATAAAAGATAATGAAGGAAGAAAAACTTTTTTTTTTCAATTGATCCAGATAAAATATTCTACAACTTTTTATAACTGAAGTAGCCTGATAGCATTTTGCAGATATACAATTTGACAAAAATAATTAAATGATGTTCTTTAATATGCCAAACACAAAATATACCAAAAAATTAATAAGTAATTGCTCTTTACTAGACATTAAAATATTCAATTCATAAGACGTGCTACTGAAATTTAACCATTTTTATTAAAACTCTTCAAAGTCGCATTATCACAAGTCTTGTGAAAAGTTTTACAGAAGTACAGTCCACAGTTGTAACTAAAAATTTATCATAATTTAAGTACTGCTGAGCTCTATAATTTTTATCTTCACAGCCAGTGACATGGACCTTTATGATCCTGATTGTGTCACATTTTGGTTGGTATTTTCAACCTGTAAAAATATTAGTTGGTATTGACACTGTTCTATTCCACTTGGCTGTATTAATCAGCTGAATGTATGACTGGTTGTAACAATCTTCTAACTGATGATGCATAAAGGAAACATTTATTAATTATTTCTTAACTCTTTAATTAAGAGGGGGGCATTTTCGTTTTTTTTACTAGAGCTCAATCAGAAAGTTAGGACATTAAAACAAATGTATAAGCACACAAGATACTCAAATATTATAGCTTTGTAAATACTCAATGGATTTTTTGTATTAAATAACAAAAGAAAAGAACATGTAATAAAACATTACATGCTTCTTACCACTAGAAAGAAGTGATATAATGCTAGATTTCAATTACATTAACAAAAAAAAAGGCTAAATTATAACAAACACTTTCTATTTGCATCAAATGTATTTTAATTGGTAGTAACTCTCAAAGTAATGCTAGAAACTTGAATTACATTTAGTATGTTACATCTATAAAGACTAGCATGATTCAGAGGTCATGTTTATTCATTATTGTTAAACAAAAATTTACTAGGCTTCTAATAGGTCCTCTATTGATCTTATCTTTTCTTGTTCAAACATGTAGTATGTTCCATAAATGAAACCATTTCGCTATGCTTATAAATCATTGTTTGTCTATTTAATATTAAAATAAAGACATTACTACAAAAAATGAGAAATCTGGTAAAAACAACTGTGGCACAGACTGTAAATATACAAACTTATAAACTTGACAAAACTACCTTACAAACAATGTTCGTATACTAATTCTCTTTAAACAAGGCCTGATAAACATCTTTAGCTTTGGTCTAGAATTGGGTGATATGCCCTGAAATTATGTTAATGAAGGTATGTCAAAACAAAAAGATAGATAAAGCTTTTGACATTTTTCCTCTAATTAAAAATTGGTGAAAGAGAATACAATTATTTTAGCAGTATATAACTTTTTGTATCTTTACGTGCATCTATTATTATCTTAAGACACACATACCAATTAGAATTAAGTTACAAGTATGTTGTATGAAACATGGGTAATTCTATTACTCAGCATTATGAACAGTCTAAGTAGCCTCCTGTATCAGAAGATGGTTGGAAAAAATAATGTAGCTACTGAAGTATATTGTTTTACAATGTAAGTTAAAAAAGTTAATATTGTACAAAGGTGTCCATGGACTTTGGGATAAGAGTTAGTTGGTCCTCAATTAAAAAAAAAGGTTGGAAACCACTGTCCTAAATTAACTTCTAACATTTATACACAGCGTATATTTTTGATTGTTTTAGAACAAAGCGACAGTGAGTTATCTGCCGTGTCCACTGCAGGTAAGTCTGTAAACTTATCGCTGTCCCACTGGGAGACATTTATATACAGTTATTACTATTGCTATTGAAACTCAGTTATGTTTTATTCATAAAAACAGATATAGTGTAGGGCAGAAGCCTTTTTAATGTATGTCAATAAAATAATAACTACCCTCCTTGAGTTTTTTAAATCAGTTAAATAAATACACTTTCACAACCTGAATCTTACTAGATGAAACTTAACCAAATTTTACAGCCCAACAAACATCTGAAATTTTCTCAAGAAATCAATAACTAAGTGTACTAATCCTAATCCTAAACTATGAACCCCCATTAGTTAGCTGTTTTGCATATACACTGTAAGCTATCAAATCCAGATATACTTCTAAATATTCCACAATATTATTGATTGCTACATTTCTAATGCCATAAAATTAATATATATTGAAAAAGAAGAGTGATCCTTGGAAGCC